TGGTGGATGAGTTGCGGCTGGAATTTCATTGTGTTTTGCAACTTCAGGATCGTTCCCGCAATGTAAATGGCACTTTCATGTTTGGTTGGATCATGTCTTCCAGTTACATTTTGGGAGGAAGTCTCGCAGAATTGCTTCGTTTTGCAGGTGTTCAACATGCATTTTGGAAGGAAGTTTCGCAGTTTCGCAATGTAAATCACAGAGTGCCACTGCGTGCACACTGCCAGAGCGAGTACGCCGTTGTGGGCTGCTCGCATGACGCCATCGTTGCGGACCGGAAAAAAGGGAGTCTGCAGGGCATGTGCGAAGGGACACTCCTATAGGTCAAATTGTTCTCATAGGAAACTTCCGCCGCCGCCTTTTGAGGATGTCTCTGGGAAGAGTTTGTTAGAGACCTCAGGAGCGTTATCATTCATTCTTAGGTTTCACATTGACACAAGACTGGGCATTGGCTCGGCACGTTGCGAATGGGTTTCGTCCCTTGGATTGCAACGCTTGAGGCGTTGCGTGAACTCCTTGAGGGCTTGGAAAGTTTGGCAACAGCCTCCAGGCAGCAGATTGGGTGGAGATGCACGGCTTTTAAACATGTTCAGGTCGTGCAACACGAGTAGGATTACTTCTTTCAACAGCACGTCCCATACTGTTTGTTTCTTGCTCCCATGGGGCCAATTGGCACTTTCTCCACAAAGGCTGTTTCATGGTGCGGGCGATCGCAATCACAATTATGCGCTGTTTGGTGCGCTATTTGTTTCATGATTCCTTGCAATGATCTGGGTGACTAGCATCCGGCTGCTGCTTGTTGTTTGAAAGCAATTTCTTTTTAAATCAAGGGACCTCACAAACTCCGGATGTGATGGGGATAGCTTGTCAGTCAATTGAAATTTCATGAAATTTCACCACCTGTGCTGAAAGGCGATGTCCTTTCATCATTGGATCAAAGCATTGCATCCCAGGACCAATCCCCATGAAAAAATATGTTCGATGATAAAACAACTATATATGTATAAACTGTTGTATACTTCTTAGTATACATATAATTAAAATTTACTATACTTGATTTGTAGCAATGGAAACCAAAACATTTGTTGATTGTGTCACTGTGTGTCCCATCCGTTATGAAACATGCCATGTCCATGACTACTACGCAAACGAAATGATTTACCAATTTGGCCTCACATCGAACGAGATGGCCGAACCCAGATATTGGACATTTGGTCATGGACCCGACTCTCCGTGTGTGTCACAAAAACTGGTTCCACCATCGCTTCAACTGTCTCGATGATATAACCGCTGTTTCGTGGTTTGGACATGGCAGATGTCCTCATGTCCTTGGGGTTTAAGACGATGATTTCCGATGATCGCCTATGAACAAAAGCACTCGAATCGTCGGTCCACCGATCCACATGCGGTCGCCACCCAGGATGTCTGAGTGCTCCACTGAGCAGCTTCATGGCGAGCTGCCATGCCAACATGGGGCAGCTCACCTCGGGAAGATGGGAGGCTCAAACCGGAGAAGGCTCACCGGGTACTCGAAACCATCCCAGTTTTTTCTTTAAATGTACTGTTCAACTTCAGAATTGGTTCAGTTCAGCACCAATTTGGGCTATATATATCAAGATGATTCCAGATATACTGTAGATGTTTCTTTTTGGCCACAGTGCGCGAAACCGCGCTATATAATATATAATGCTATATATATAGTATATATATATGTATATATTGACTGGCACCCTCCAGTGCAGGTGCATTCATCCAAAGGTAAGCTCAGCAAAGACGTGCAGATTGCACCATAGCGAGCAGATTTGCAAGTTTAGTTAATTACATGTTTGATCACATCAACCGTTCAACATTCATTCAGTGTGCGCAACGTGTACCTCCAGATGGACACCCAAAACCGACCCAGCACACACACAAAACCGACCCGGTCGGTAGATGTTCGAGCTTCAGAGCTTGATAGACAAATGTCCCATTTCTCGCGCTTCGGGGCTGTGAGTCCAGACATTCAAAACCGGCAAAGTAATGAAGTGTACCACCCCAAATGTTGGTGGTTGACCACTTGAAGTGTTGTCAAGCCTCCATGGTTTGGTGCGGCCATGACCCACTGCCATGTTTGTTGTGTTTTAGAAGGACACCGGACACTCGAAGGCAAAAGTATACAAGCGACACCTCAGGGCATGGCTGTTGAGAAGGGGACGCTCACTCAAGCAGTGAGTTTGTTGAGACCTCATGTTTGCTGTCACTGCCGTCGTTTAATCCTGGCTTTTCCAGGCTATTCCCCAAAGAAGCAAAGCCAATTTGGGACATTTTGGGATCCATAGAATTCCATAGCCTCACAGCCAGAAAATATGTTTGGACAGCCAAAATTTGTGGGGTCATCGTGGTTTTCTTCAGGTCTTGGGGGCTAAGGCAATGGGAGTGCACCCCCCAATTGCTTCGACATAGAGATTGCTCCCGAACAGTGTGGAACTAAACTACACACGAACAGCACGTTTGGAGTAACGTCACTTGTTTGAAGCATTCACATAAATCACATCAACGAAGGACATAAACGAAGGGCACTCGGCGCATTTGTACCGGTCATACGGCGCCGTCACGACTGAGGCCATGGAAGATCAAAGGGTGACTCAAGGTGTACAGGAGCTCAGTGCCGTGGGTCCCAAAGAAACACGACACATCCCAGACGCTCATGATCAACTATGTTTCGGTGCTCAATAACCTAGGCAAGTGCAAACTGGACATGAATAAATATATGAACATATGAACACATGTTTGTTCATGTCCAGTTTGCACTTGCCTAGGTGTGGTTTGGGTTTGATGGGTCAACCAGCTTTGTTGTAGGCTGTTTGAACGCCTCGAGTGCAGAGCCTGCAAAACACTTCAGTGGTAGCAGTCACGAAAAGTATCACGACCTGTTTGGGCGCATATTGACCTACATTGACCTCCAAATTGGGGGCGGTTGACTATAGGGGTCATACATTGGTTCGGCATCGAAGCAATATCAAGTCCCCATTGGGCGTGGTTTAGGTTTGTGAACCACCCTGAACCCTAAACCCTAAACAATATCAAGTGCGGGTCGTGTTTGGGTTTGTCCTTTGCTCCTAGTAGCGTCCGATCGCTCCGTTCGTAGCGAGGCCAGGAGCCCCGAGAATCGTAGCGAACCTTGTTCCGTTCGTAGTAAGGCCAGGAGCCCCGTTCGTAGCGTCCTTCACCCTAAACCCACAAAACCACCGTCGACTCAGGTGCCACGGAGGTTCTACTCACCTTGTGGCGCATGGCTATCGACCATGTGGTGCGCTTCAATCGAGTGCGACTGGTAGGCGCCCACGGTTGGGAAAACCACCTAATTTTCGTTGGGACCAACAAGATACGAGTTGTATCAAGTTGTATGAACTTTGGGCTAAATAATGCTAAATGCATCTAAATTATAATACTCTAAGTCTTAGTACTATCTATGTTTTACAACAAAATCCGTTTTGATTTGAGCCAACAGTTGCGAGAGGGGTGCATTTCAACTAAAAGGAATTTGCTATGCTCCACCCTTCCTGTGAGTGTGCAATAGATTGGCTGGGAGAGTGTAACTGTGCCGTTGGCTCCGTTAGCTGAATGATTCTATCGCCAGCCTGGCAAACAAACCATGAGGAATTTCCTATGGCATGTTCGTTTTGGTCTCGGTGTGTCCCGAAGTGACCTGGCTCAAACAATAAAAAGAAGCTGGTGCTATCGACCACGAAAGAAAGAACTTCCGAACTTCCTATATAAACTTGGATGCTCATACTCCACAATTCTTTTCTGGTGTCTTGTAGTCAGGGCCATCCCTGATGTTTCCAGACGTGCTTTGCAGGCTTCTGGGCCTTGCTGCCCTCCTGCGTGCCTATGATCTGGAGAGCCGTTGCTTCTTCCGCCGAGGACACCAGCCGCTGGGCTGAGATTGGGACTCTCCGTCCTGAAGGGGGCTCGTCTCGTTTGCATGCTCAACCCATGTCAACCGGGAGCTCCCGGAGAAAGAGACGCATTCGTCTTTGTCTTATTGTAAACCGGTCTGAGCCTGGAACCAAACTCAAGAGTTCGTGTGTTCCAAGTGACCTTATGTGACGTGCTTGTTAGGAAAATTTACAGCGAAACAGAGCTGCTTTGAAGCGTTTAAAAAGGTCATGAAAGCTATGCAATATGTGTGAGATGTGATTCACACGACACAAGCAGCACGCTTGTAGAGGTGGCAGGGCCTTTTTGTTGTGTAGTCCGCGCCAGCTCTCTACTACCTTGTCGGCCTAATGAAAGCTCCGAGATGCTTCATTGGCCTGTCACTTGACCTGTGCCCTCAAGGGCTTCCATGTTCTGTTGCCACGTGTTGCCAAGAGAATGAGAGCCTGCAATCAACATGCGTATGGATTCGAAAGGTTTTTGTCGTTTGCCCCTGTTCTTTTGTCACTTGAGTTTTGGACATACAAAGTCCACGAATTTAATTCAACCTTTGACACGTTCGGACATGCGAAGCCCGACGTGGGAAAGCGTTCATTCTCCCCGAGAAAAAAAGAAAAAACACCTGTTGTTTCAACTGCAATGAACCTCTTTTGCATCTTCACTGAAAAACCTTTCAATCTGAAGCGCGGAAGTGAGGTAGACCAGACCTCATTCTCCAAGCTGCATTCGGTCGTAGCCCACCTGTGCCTGGTGATGCAAGGTGTGTGTCTCTCAGCCCACCTGAGCTGACGGAGGGGGATCAAAGACACCACGTGACCAGCCCTTCCCAATGAATGACCTCTATAGTAAGCAACATAGCCCTAATATAGCCACCCCTTTTATTAACACCCATCTAATCAACAGCTTACATCTAGCCTACTCATGAAGCTAAAAAAGGTGTTTTTGTTGGCAGAAGAGCGACAACAAGAGTCTATCACTGCGCCAGCTACGCTCCCTCAACGAATGGTGACGTGGAGAACTCGCCACCACCTGTTTGCTCTTCGGATTTCATCCGAGTCTTCAGGGGTGGCGAGTCATCCCACGTCACCATCGTTTCTTTCAGTCTAAGTCTAGTCGCCGAGTCACCGAGTCACTGGGTCGACGCAGGTCTGTCGTCGTGCGGCTTCTCGTGCGGCTGAAGACGCGACAGATTGGTGATGCGAAGAAAACCATGCAATCCAATGTCAGCAAAGTCGCGGTTCGGCAAAGGAACATGCATTGTGTCCTTCATGTTTCGGGTAATTGGCGCTCCTGTTGGCGGTTCAGGTGGGCATTTTGGTTTATTTGTTGAGCGGCAAGAAGGTCAGAAGCCTTGTGTTGTTTGATAGGAGGCTAATTACCGGAGGGACTTCGGATCTGGATCTATTGGGTTGTTCGCGGTCCACCCACCCAGTTCAAACAGTTACGCATCCTTCCTGAGAGCGGTTTCTGATGGTAGTTTCTAGAGTAAACGCTTACAGTGGTTTCAGAGTAGATAGCACAACCCCCAAGATGACTTTGGCAAATTCCTCTATCTACTCTCGATCCGTAGGAATTTGTGTCAGATCATCTCTGTTGAGAATGGATCACAGGGCGATTTCGGCATCTCGAATTAATGTCTTGGGCACCCCTCGGCCACATGTGGAGTTGTAAAGCTCAAGTGGAAGAAGTCTAGGATATGGTACGGTTCGATTGCTGCGATGATTTCAGCTGCAATTGTTGGTCCCACTGAGGTCCTTTTGTTGTCATGGGTGGTGGAATGATGTTTTTTCCTTGCTTGATTCTGAACACTGAGGTGATCTATGCAGTGGTCACCTCTGCATTGATTTGTTACATGCACGTCTTCCTAGCAGGACTCTTTGCAGCCTCTCTGCTGCAGATAATTTTTGTTCGGCTAAGCCATTTTCTGCTTGCTCACAGGGACATCTCTCAAATGAAGGGATATGTTTGACGAGCATGCAGAATTCTGGAACTTCATGGTTGGGTGTCTATGTTCCACCCTACCAGTGGTTTCTGCAGGTTCCCCTTTAAGACATGTCTAGTCTCTGTCACCAGTTTTGCTTCATGTGATTCATTTGCAGTGGACTTGCAATAGAAAGAAGACACCCAAAAGATTTTGATATACTCCCCTCTAATACACTAACTACTCCAGGTTATGATCAGGCTCATGGCTTCCAGCCAGGCTTCCTGGCTCAACACCGATGGCCATATGAATGGCTATATAACCCTCGCGCTCGGAGCCGAGGTCATGGGGATCGTCCACTACAAGCGAATGATGATGGTGCTCCAATCCATTTGCCGCCTCACACGGCCACTCTTCTGCGTCTTCCCGAATCTACCGCAGGCGCGGAAGGATGGAAGGAGAGACGAGGAGCCGAGGGGAGGACGGGGAGAGGGATTGGTGCGCGGGAGAGGACCAGTGCATGCTGTGGGGCATGAAACCGAGTTGGGCCAAGTGGCCACATGGTGGCAGGGCCATTTGTGTGAAGTGAGAACTTCTTCCAAAACTCTGGTTTGTTGGTTTGCTAGTTGAGTTTCTGAAGGAACATGCAATGATGTAGGTAAAGGCAACTATGCTCCTCCAAAGACAGACGATTGCTTCAATTCAAAAGAATAGCTACAGTATGCTACAGTAAGATATATACATATAATTGGTGTTGGTGCTTGATTGTAGTGCTGATGGCCTCACTCCAGAGCCCCCAGGATGCAGGTGAGTGTAAGATATTCTACGTTTGTCAGTGCTTGTTTGTAGTGCTGAAAGTATGCAAGTGAGTGCTCGGTGCGCAAGTGAGGTAAAGTGCGCAAGAGAGTGAAATTTCCAGTGTGCCAGTGAATATCAGTGAATGTAATGTAAGTGAGTAGGGTGAATGTGGTGCCCGCAGTGTGCCTGCTTGACTTCCTTGTGTTCTTTTGTGCGCGGGAGGCAAGACTTTTTTTTGGAGCACCTCCCAGGGATACCAAGGCTATCGTTACGATATGTGCACCTTCTATAGATGTGTGAATCTGGGTATGCAACCACATACTGACGCTTTGGGATGTCCTTTCAGATGTCCTCTCCCCCCCAAAAAAAAACTTTTTGCGTCTTTTGCCTCAGCTTCTACTTGGCTGTACTTCAAAACCACCAATACACCGAAGCAGGGCACGACCTACCTGACGATACGGTCGGAAACGCGCCTCCTGGTGGAGGGATCCTTTCGCCGTTCTCAGGCTCAGCTGAGTGGAAGAGTCGGTGTGGAGAATATGCGCGCGGTCTTGGCCTGCTTCGAGGTTGGGTGGGAAGCGTTTTCTTTTTTTGGGGGAAGTTGTGCATGGGTACTTGTAGCTGTAGTAGCTGTCATGAGTTCATGTCAGCAAAAAATGAGGGGGAAGAAGGGTAGGATTGAGTGACCAAAAGCAGTGGGAAGGGAATGGAAGAGATATAGAAGATCAGTGATGGTATTTAGCCTACAGAATGGTGGGGGTTAACCCTCCTACAGAATGCACATTTAGTAGTAAAGGGGTTTGGTCGCACGACCCCTGTGGTTGGGATGCCAGCATTTTGTAGGCAGCAAGAGGGTTGGGTGTACTTATTTAGTAGGGAAAAGAGAATGCACGATTTGTGGGTTGGGTGTACTTATTTGGTAGGGGAGGTCCTTCATTTTGTAGGGAATCATAATGGATGGATATTCTAACAGTCCTGCGTCCGGAGATCTAGCCTAGGCAGGGGGCTGAAAGGGCAAAGGTGGAGGGCGGAGAGGAATCTTTGATAGGCAGGATGTGGGCTGGTGCACCTGCTGGTGTGGGACAGGCCTACTGTACAAAATCAGAGGCACAATCCCAGGCATCTGCTTCAGCGTCGGCTTCTGCTGATGACGGGGTCTGCACGTGTTGTGCTTCGTCGGCCCTATCCTCAGAGTCTTTCTCTAACATACCTGTCTCTTCCTGTTCTCGTGCTGCAGTCTCGGAGCTACCCGAGCTGACATCGATGGCAGGGGCAGGGCTTTGCTGCGGCCAGTAACAGCCTGCTTGCAGAAGTCCAGGTTGGGGGGGAAGGTGTAAGTCAGATCCCCTGGTGCCAAGCTCTGGTTGGCTCCTCCATGCGTCATAAAAGTAAATCTTGCGCAGAGCTTCGAACTGGTATTCTTTTGCCTTATGTGCGGCATCGGCTTCTTGCCCTGGTGGGTAGCGACTAGTGCTTCCTACGCTAAAGCGAGCCCCCCCTTACCAGCATAGTGGAGGAGTCGCCAGGCATTGGGCTGCGCGCTGTCAGGGACGACGAGCCAGTCAGGCACAGAGGCACAATCCCAAGGGTTGGCATCCCCATTTTGTAGAGTAGGGAAGGTGGCCAGTGGTGACCAAGAGTAGGCAGGTGGCTCAAAGGGCAAAGGTGGAGGGTGGAGGGGTAGCTTTGACAGGTAGGATGTGGTGGAACTTGGTGCATGTGACTGGGTCTTGCTGGTGTGTTTGCTGGTGTGGGACAGGCCTGCTGTACAAAATCAGAGACACAAGCCCAAGGGTTGGGCCGAGCCATTTTGTAGAGTAGGGAGGTGGCCAGTGGTGATCAAGACTAGGCAGGTGGCTCAAAGGGCAAAGGTGGAGGGGCATCTTTGATAGGCAGGATGTGGTGGAACTTGGTGGGTGTGACTGGGCCTTGCTGGTGTGTTTGTTTGTGTGGGAGCGGCGTGCTGTACAAAATCAGAGACACAAGCCCAAGGGTTGGGCCACCCCATTTTGTAGGTTAGGGAAGGTGGCCAGTGGTGACCAAGACTAGACAGGTGGCTCAAAGGGCAAAGGTGGAGGGTGGAGGGTAGCTTTGACAGGTAGGATGTGGTGGAACTTGGTGGTTGTGACTGGGTCTTGCTGGTGTGTTTGGTGGTGTGAGACAGGCCTACTGTACAAAATCAGAGACACACGCCCAAGGGTTGGGCCACCCCATTTTGTAGAGTAGGGAAGGTGGCCAGTGGTGACCAAGACTAGGCAGGTGGCTCAAAGGGCAAAGGTGGAGGGTGGAGGGGTAGCTTTGACAGGTAGGATGTGGCGGAACTTGGTGGATGTGACTGGGTCTTGCTGGTGTGCTTGCTTGTGTGGGACAGGCCTGCTGTAGAAAATCAGAGACACAAGTCCAAGGGTTGGGCCACCCCATTTTGTAGAGTAGGGAAGGTGGCCGGTGGATCTTGGTGGTTGTGACTGGGTCTTGCTGGTGTGTCTGCTTGTGTGGGACAGGCCTACTGTACAAAATCAGACACACAAGCCCAAGGGTTGGGCCACCCCCCATTTTGTAGAGTAGGGAAGGTGGCCGGTGGTGACCAAGCCTAGGCAGGGGGCTGAAAGGGCAAAGGTGGAGGGTGGAAAGGTATCTTTGATAGGCAGGATGTGCACCTGCTGGTGTGGGACAGGCCTGCTGTACAAAATCAAAGGCACAAGCCCAAGGGTTGAGCCCCTCCATTTTGTAGAGTAGGGAAGGTTGCCATGGGTGCAGAATGGTGCAGATGACATGTCCTGAAGGACCCTTCAGATATATATATATATATAATTAGATATATATACAAATAATATATATATATATACATATTTAATTGTTTTATTTAATGTATAATAAGTCAATAAGTGTATACATGTGTATACAGAAGATTTAGAAGATTGACCCTGCATTCCGGGTACTTGGCGGAATCAGCCAGCCAGCCGCATATCAAAGTACCCGGCGGAATCAGCCAGCCAGCTAGCTAAAAAGTATCCGGCGGAATCAGCCAGCCAGCCAACTATCAAAGTATCCGGCGGAATCAGCCAAGCAAAGTATCCGGCGGAATCAGCCAGCCAGCCACCAAAAGTACCCGGCGGCTGGCGGAATCAGCCACCAAAAGTACCCGGCGGCTGGCGGAATCAGCCACCTAAAGTATCCGGCGGAATCAGTCAGCCAGCCACCTGTCAAAGTATCCACCGGAATCAGCCAGCCAGCCAGCAACTTCTCAAAGTATCCGGCAGAGTCAGCCAGCCAGCCAGCAAAGTATCCCGCGGAATCAGCCAGCCAGCCACCAAAAGTACCCGGCGGCTGGCGGAATCAGCCACCTAAAGTATCCAGCGGAGTTAGCCGGTAGGCAGCCAGCAGAAGTATCCGGCGGAATCAGCCAGCCAGCCACCTATCAAAGTATAGCCATTAAGCCTAGGCTTCGTGGGGAGTACAGCCATTTGACAGGCGTCCAAAAGCGCGTCAGAAAAACAGTCTTGACATGTCTTGACTTTTCTTGACTTTTGTTGATGATTTTCATGCGCATTCATCTTCACTACCAAATGAGTAGGCCTTTCCAGGCCGCGCCCCATTTTGTAGCAATCAGTGACCTTGGCCCCCTCCATTTTGTATAATTGGCCTATCCCTTCCCTACAAAATGAGTCCATTTTTTTGGGAGTCATTTTGTAGGGATGGGACGTTGGTCGCTGACATTTTGTAGTGATTTTTACTACCAAATAGGGACCCCGACCCCTCACCCTAAATATCAACGGGGATTATAGAAGTATATACACATGTATAACATATTTAGTTGTAGATTAGACTGAACCAAAACCGAATATGTGTAAGTGTATATATAATTTCTATGTTGATGTGTCAGGGTATGACGGCCCAACAACCTGGAACCATACGGCTCAGTTCAAGAAGAACCACGGAGCACGGGCTGAAAAGTGGAATCTGAACCATAAGCAGCATATGGGTGTGTGTGTGTTGTGTGTGTCCATACCTGTTTCTAAAGAAACTGCATTGTATAAACTTCTTTTCCGCAGGGGGATGGAGAGGACATGTGAAGCTCCATCCAACGAAGCTCCTCACATGATCCTAGGATATCATCAGGGACGCCTGATGACGTACCTGCAGATTCCAATGATGTAAACAATATTGTTGCCGACTTCTTCACCTTGCCGTTCCCTCTCAGGGCCGTTTCTCAGGTTTCAGGCAGCGCTCTAAACCGGTATTGTAATCACTAGAGTGGACTGCCGCAACTGATTCAGCTCTTGCGAGCCTCAATCTAAGTGTGTATCGCCACAGGGTCCCACTGAGGTCTGTGGTGTGATCCCCGACCAGGGGCGCAGCAGCCGCACATGCCCTCAAGGGTGATTCTTCCTGATCCTTCTTCCTTCACCGGATCTTTTCCTCGCAGCCCCCACCTGATCCACTGTCTTGCGGGAAAAAGCTGATTATACGCCGCAGGGCTTATTGAGATCAAATCCAACCGGACTTCCTCACGCGGCTAAGTATTCACAAGTCCGTGCCATGTCATGCGGCCAAGTACTCACCTGCCTTTTTGTTTTTTCTTTCCTGCTGTTGCTTTTCGTTTTCTAGAGGCTTTTTAGGTGTAACGGAGGTTTTTGTTTTGTGCCGATTACGGCTTTTTTGCCTGTGCCTTCGGGCCAGTGCAACCCCATGCATGAGAATTCGCCAGGCTCCCCCC